AAGTCTTTCCAACGTTTATAGGAGAAAATGAATAGTGATTTTTTTTTACCTTCATCACCGTCCAAATTTTATCGCGCGGTCACGATTGTCCGGTAGTATTTTATGTGTTATTTTTTTCTACAAATCAAAATGAGCTAAAATATGGAGGGATATACATCTTACTAAGGCGCATCTAATAAATATATAAAAAACTTATCTGCAAAAAATAAATTGATAAAACTCCCCTTGAAAGATTTCGGAGGTAGTTTGGTCAATGTTTTTCATGTAAAATATATTTTTTTTAATTTTTTAAGATTCCCCTATTTTTGATGAATACACGCTCTAAATTTCAGGTCATTCCGATTTGTTGAAAAAAAAATGAAAAATGAAACACTATCGGATAATCGTGACCGCACGATGAATTTTGAAAAGTGATGGGGATAGGTAAAATCACTGTTCATTTTAGTCTATAAGCGTTGTGTTGTGTAGTGTTTTATATATATATATATATATAGGGAGAAAACCGGGGGACTTGTTGGGGTATTTATTATTATTTATTATAATGGATAAGCAGTCTCTGCTGAATTGTCGACGTTTTGGACCACTTGGTACTTATAATGTGGAGTCCTGGACTTCTTCAATGAATTGGACCAATTGAACGACCTATGGCGACATATGGTTAGTTTCTAGATTTGCCGCATTGGAGGACTTGGAAATCACCATCTTCCTTTGAACATTAATAGACAGCAATATGGAATCTTTTGCTCATGTGAGAATGAAAAAATATTGGGAAACACTAGCTGCATAGTTTGTTATTCGCAAATATGCAAGGTTAGAGTGCATTCCATGCCTCATTTTATTTTTTTTTGTATTCTTTTTCCCGGCTCAACTTTTATTAGTTGAGCGTTATATTTTATTAGTTGAGCGCTATATTGTACATGGTTTTGTAAGCAACTGATTATGAATAGTTGGATTTGGAATCAGTCTCTTTCAGCATTCTTAGTGCCTAATTAGAGAAGAGGATGTCCACGAAATTCTGGATTTGTTAGTGACAGAGAGAGGAGATATCCCAATCCCATATGAAATGGGATTTTTATATAGATTAAGGTTGACTTGAAAGAACATTAACTAAAAGAGGCAGGTAGCTCCTTTTTTTGGATAAGATTATCTCTAGGTATATTTTTCTATATAAAGTTATTAAAGAGAAAAAATTGTGGTGCCTTTATGGGATGCATGTGCCTCTCAAAACTGGTTCTCTCTACCACCCAAAAAAATTGTTCCCTATCTTTGTAGAAGCCTAGAGTAAAAATCCAGAGGTGATCCAAGTGTTGTAGGGCCTTCCATCAAAGGCACAGGATTTCCGTTGTGTGAACTACACTGCCAGTTTTAGTAATCGATATTCGACATAGGTATTCAAGCGTTGAAATCTCAAACTAAAGTGTACGCAAAAGAGAACAGGACGAACGCATCAATCATATGAGAAGAATCGGATATGGAAAAATGTTAATGAGATTTTTTTCCGATTCTTTTATTTTGTGTTTTCACTACTTTTGATATTTCCTCTAGTTTCTAGTTTCCTTACCTTGGCATTACAGTTGTAATATTAGAAATTTACCTTCTGATGTGATAATTCATGTGGTTGACAAGCGAAAACACAAAAATCATATTTTTTAAAAGCTTTTTTGCCTTGTTTTAATTTTTCTTTGATCTTTTCGGATGCTCGGACACCTCCTGGGAAAGGTTCAGAGATGTGTTGCACATGCATAGGAACAAACACAACGCTCGAGGAACGCACAACCCCGCCTTAGCACTCAATCATGCGCGGGATGCTGTAGCATTGGTATCGTACAGTGAACACATGGTTGACCGGTGAGTGCACGCCAACTAAGTGGGCTGGCAGCATTGCTACATGTGTGTGACACACATGTGGAACTTACATGTGTGCTTGCACATATGTGAGAATTGTATTTTTTTTTTCACCTGTCCCTGAGGCCGCATGCTAATATATGAGAAAACAGCCACACATGAAACTGCGGATTTTCTGCCCTTCTTTTGATACCGTACTTTGTAAAGTACGATAAGAGATGTGCAATGTTATCGTGCCTTTGGTGAGGTTACATTAAAATAAGTGCAGCTGATGCCACAACCACGTGTATTTCTATGCGGCTCCTACTCCTTCCTTGAGGCCACGTGGAGTATGGTGCGACCACAAGTGCATGCTATTTTGTGCAGCTGCTGCCTCACTATAGAGGCAGTTTTTGGGGAGACTCAGGCCACAAACTGTTATGGTGCCCCATTATCGTTCTAGAGGGCATAACTTTGCTGTCAAACGCCCCTTTTCAACAAACCATATATGTTTTTGGGGCATCTCGAAAAGCCAGATGCAATAAGCAAGTCGCTTTTATTGATTGTGTCGAGAAAAACGAATCTTGGCCCTAGAATCATATGTTTGGTCCCATTGGATTTTTTGTTGGGCCCCTCGATGCTGGTAGAGCCTACGCAATTTGATTGCATGTCAAGATGGACCATAGACTACGATCACCTACTATTTTTGAAGTGGAATTTCACATCTAGGATGTGAGCACTTCCTTGCTGACAGGGATCAAGGGCCTTACTATCCAGATCTGATGTTGTTGATTACTAGCCCTTGCCCCTATCTGGCTGCGTAAAATTTTTTCTTCAGGTCACTTTGAAGTTAGGACGTTTTTGTTCTTGAAGAGTCGAGGAAGTGCTAGAAACAATGATACATTGGTGTATAGGCAATCGTTTATTCATGTTATTTAATTTATTGTTGTAGACATCCTATTTTTTAAGACTGGCACATTCCATGATTTTTCTAACCTTAGAAAAGCTATAGGACCACGCTATTGCAGTAGACCCCCAAACCATAGACCACCATAGTCCATGGTCCCATCCTATGACTCCACTCTTAGTAATCTTCTAGTTTTTAGTAGTTATCCATTCAACACCTAGCAAATCCCGAGCTTTTAGTAGTAATCCATTCCACCCCTAGCAAATCCCCAGCTTTTAGTAATTATCTATTTTACACTTAACAAATCCCATAGTTTCAATTTTACATCCAATTAAGCCTATAAGAAAAATAAACTATCGCACCACTTAGAGGTGAGAAAATATTTGGGTGGGGGAGAAAATATTTGGGTGGGACATGTATGTTAGAAATGAGAGGAAGGTGGGATGCGTAGGAGAAAATCAGAGAAAGAGAGAGAAACCCATCTGACAAACCCTAGACTTAGGAAAACCCTAACTTTAGGTCACCCTTAGACCAATATAACTATTCAACCAAGCCAAGGCTTGGTCAAGACTTGAAGAGAGAGACAAAGAGGACGCACGACACATACTCAGTCGGTCCTGATACGGGCGAGGCCTCGAAGCCTCAGGTCCCCTGGGCCAACTGGCCCGGCCAGGTATTTTCTTCATCATCTCTTTTATCTTATTTTATTTTATTTTGTTATATTTATTAGTTTATTTTATTTTATTTATCTTTTATGTTTTTTGGATCGATGATGTCTCTGCCACTTATCTAAGAGCATATCTTCTCGTTTCTGAGTAGATCTGGCATCATATCAGAATTTAATTGTCCCTACTATCTCTATCAACATTTAAAAAATCATTTTAATGCCATCGATGGTACAAAGAACGAATACGGGTCAGGTACAGGGGTCATACTATGCTCACCCGATAACGTTGCTGAATACGAAGCCTTGATAGCCGGGCATGAGAATACCAAGTTCAAGGGATTTGGAAGGTGAAGGAAGAAAAGCTCAAACCCTATCAAGAAAAGGTGAAAAATATGATTCCATACTTTAAGAAAATCACCTTTCAGCACGTAACTAAGTAAAATAATCGGTATGCCGGCACCCTTACGACCCTTGCTTCGATGGTTGAAATTCCTCCAGAAATCTCCACATTGTTGTTCTACATCAGGAACAAACATGACCTTTCCCCATTAAGAATTGAAGAAGAAATAGAGCAAGAGAATGAGAATGATGGGGAAGTACCTTTTGTGGTTTCAGATGCGCTAGTCAAAGCAAAACCGTGGTTCCATGATGTTTTGTCCCTGCTAAAAGATGGTTTGTACCCCGAGGAGCCGTCAAAAAGGATAAATAAGCCCTTCGAAGGTTTTCTATGGGATTCTTAGTAAGAGGTGATCTCTTATTCAAAAATTCCTTTCTCGATCAACCAGAAATTGACCAAGTACTAACGGAGTTGCACAATGAAGAAGGTCATTCTGGGGCAGCCACCTTAGCTCAAAAAATCAGGTGCCAAGGCTATTACTAGACCACCATGGTTGAAGACTGCTGGAAGTTTGTTAAGAGGTGTCCTAAATGTCACCTCTATGGAGACCTCATCCATGCACCGTCCGTATCACTCAACTCAACACCGCTTGTATGGCCCTTCGTCATGTGGGGTCTTGATATCATTGGAATGATATCAACAAAAGCCTCAAACGGCCACCGTTTTATATAAACAGCTGCAGAATACCTCACCAAATGGGTAAAGGACACATCATTTGTTAAGATTGAAGGCCAACATGCTGCCCGTTTCATAAAGAACAATATCGTATTTAGATTCGGTATTCCTGAGTCAATCATCATTGACAATGGATCCAATCTCAAAAATGAAAAGGTCACTAAGGTGTG